CTGCTTCACTTGCCAATGTGCGTGGAAGTGTCTTTAGTCTTTGCGCGCACTCTTCTTCACTTCTTTGTCTTGTTTTCATTATTCATGCCTGCACTGCACTGTACTGGTTAATCTTCTGCTTCACCATCTTCCTCTCCTCTGCTCTATCAGCTTCTATGTGTCGGTCGAGATCTATTCCTTGTCTTCTTTCTTCCTAATAAGGTTATGCAAGCCTCTTCCCATATCTCTTTCAAACAGTTCCGTCGTTTTCTATAGCTTGAATATTTGTACTAGCCGTTATTTTGAGATATACTTTGATATTAGTCTTTCCTATCGATGTTTTCCTTATATACTAGTGTGAAATGTGTCGCTCTGAAGGGATATAGTTATGTATGTGAGGTTCTACGTTGATTTTATCTATCTACTTGTCTTATTTATGAGTTGTACTTTGATGTATCATCCTGGGGACAAGACGAAAGGAATCAGTGGTTGAACATTCTTGGTGATATGGCTGAAAATCGATCACAATAACACAGATGTATTCACTCCTTCACATCTTCTAAAGCCTCAATATTCAAACTAACCTTTATGTTCGGATTTTTTTATTTATTCTCTCACATCATTTTGTCAACTTTGATAGTATCAGTCTTTTTCTATCCATCTGTTCTTTGTTTACTAACATGGTGAAGTGTGTCAAATTGAACCGTGATCCACATCCACTTGTATGCATAGTTCTACGTTGATTTTGTATTTCTGTCTGTCATATACATCATGTGACTTGCTATAATTAAAACAACCTTGTACAGCTGTTCATGGATTAGGCAGGCAGCATTCAATTTAACTGAGTAAACGGAACGATGTAGGCAGGTAGATGAGAAGACAGAGCGAGATAGTAGTAGAAATTGGAACTAATTGACTATAAGTCGAGTGATAAAAGGAACACGTCGTGGGTCGAATTAATAAGTAACTTATAAACCATCACTATAGCCAATAAAAACAAGAAATTACGATAAAAAGCAAGTTTTATTATCGTCATCACCGTAATTATCTCCTTTCTTTGTCTAGCAGACGACTATTCCGCCTGATTAGTTCTGAAATGATGTAAGTCGTCATCATCATGATCAATATAAGACCAGGGCATTATTGACTACACAATGGTCTAAGTTGCCAAAACCTTATATCACTACATCAAGCTACAACCCAATAAAATGGAAAATGAAAGGAAGAATGAAAAAAATGATGAGATTCGGTATGCCGTTAACATAAGGATAATGTGTGTGTGGATATATCTACGCTACTGACATCCGTTGTTCTCTGCCATATCACCTACAGTCACTCTCCAACCAATACCTTCTCTTATCCCCCAAACACCAACCACCAAGTATGCATCGCACCTCACCACATGGATCAAACCAATAGTCAAACACTTCATACATTCATGACATGTTTCAGTCTGACCGCCTACAGCCGTTTCCCAGCCTCAACCTGCTTCACACAACATTGTGTGACGAGGTAGAGACAGTGGCTACGAATATGTAACACATGTCCCGACCAGTCATCTCAGTCGATCAACGTTCACAACCACCTCAACTATCTTACCTCTCTTCTTCCTAAAACTCTACACCTGACTTCTACGTTACTCACCTTCTGACACCACCACATACCATGGAATATGCTACGAAGGCAATGGTGACCAAGCGACTGAAACCTTCTCGTATCTCCTACCTTTAATGAGCAAGTTTCACAGCCAAAGAGTTAAAAAGAGCAAGCTAAAGCACAGTACACTCAACTCTTAATAGATAATCGTATATAGCGGCGGCGGCGCCACAGATAAAGTCAGTTGGCGAATGCCAACCAAGCATTTTCTATCCGTCCACAGATTTCGTCGGCGACTGACCAATGTATCAACGCTGTCACAACTTCTCAGGTAAGTGAAGTGTTCACAAGCTCAACTACTTCACTCCCTATTGTTAGTCACGGCACTGTTGAAAGCCAGTCCCGGAGCAACAATTTGCATTTAAGTGGCACGAAACACACCCTACACATTCCCACATTCCCACGCAAGGTGTCCAGATGACTCTGTATCTTGTTAGCGTCTTCACAAGACTATGTCATCTGCGCATTCTAGGTCAACCGAAAATTCTCCTGTAACTAGCTCAATCCCTGTGTAGTTTGATGGCTAGAAGGAAACCTCCATAAGAAGGTTTACGATGAAAGTGAATAAGAACGGAGAGATTGCGGCATCTTTGTCTGATACCACTTGACGTTCACAAATAATCCGATATCTCACCACAGGCTCTAGTACGACTACAGATGTTCGAGTACTAAGGCCTTCAATAGGATGATGTACTTACTCGATATCCCTTGCAGTGACGGAGTCAAATGTTGTCATCACGTCGACAAATACACAGCTACTGTCCCGCGTCGGTATGTCTGTATCCCAAAACGTGGCTGAGTGTGAATATTTGGTCGACGCACCCACCCATAGACAAGTCTGAAGCCTGCCTGCTTTTCTTGGTTTTCCGTTCCCAAGCTCTATTCAGGCATCTAATGACTATAGAACCTAGGATCTTAGATATTATGTTCGTCAGACTGGTTTTGCTGTGGTTATCACAAGACGACTTCTCGCCTTTCTTGAAGACTGCGATAGTCAGTGATTTACACCAGTCAGAGGGGATCATATTTGACTTCCATACACTAGTTAATACTTCCGTTAACTTGACAAGAAACACACTACCGCCGTCCTTATATACCCCAGGAACTGGTCCGTCTCGTCTTGCTGCCCCTCCCCGTTTCAAGTTACCTACCACCTTCTCGACTTCTGCAAGTGTTGGGGGGGGTGGAGGGAGGGAGGGAGGCTATCTCAATGTTCTGTTCATGACCCGACTGGATAGCAGGCAATTCAATGGTTGTTGAAGGTCAGTTAAGCTGTTCCATGAAGTGTTCCACCCATCGTTTCAGTCGTCTTCCTTATGAATGAATCGCAGACCCCTCCTTCTTCCGTAAGCCGCTGACGCTTTTGCCCCACTTTCTTTAATAAGTCTAAATAAGTGTCTACTGTTGCCTATCGTCACTGCATTTTCAATTTCTTGAACCTTCGCTGCCCACCGCTGTTCGCCATCATTGAGTAGACTTTTGGTAAGTCTACATTTTGAGTTTGCGTTCGCTCTTCATTGTACTCAAAGTCTGCAGAGGTGTTCGCGTCCATCCATTAATTTACAAGAGGTTGCTGATATCCAGTGGCTCTTTTAACCCTCTTTGACAGTCGGCTACTGTCTTCAACGCTGTTTTTTTACAGCAAACTGGAGATGGTACCAAAGTTCTTCTGCATGAGTGACGGTGTTCTGTTCCGATTACTGCCTAGCCAGTTCCTCGCTGAAAGCAGCCTCATTGTCGAGCTGTACTCATAATGGTCTCTTCTCTAAAGTTTTTCTGCATCCATTGAGATGCAGGCATTTACACGCTCCAATCAACGCGTGTTCACTATCCAAACACATGCTCTAGAAGGAGCGGCAGTCTTCTATCGACCCTCTTCAGCAATAACCGATTGTAATGTAGTCTGTGTCCATCGCTGAGTTGGTGAACGCGACGTAGGACAATATCTCTCTTTATGTCAGAAGGTTGTGCTAGCTAGGCGGTCACCGTTATCTATTTGTTCAGTCGCAGTTCTGAAAATGCGTGGCTCAGCCTACCCACTTGTGCACTGAAATCACCAGCAACAACAACCACATCTGAACGTTTGGCTTTTACAGAAGAAGGTTAGACAGTTTTGGGTAGAACTCATCCTTTACTTCATCTGAACAACAGTCAGTGGGTGTGCAAGCAGAGATTACAAGGAGACGACAGTAAGTTTCACTATTACTTTTAGTTCTCACTGTACCATTCAGCTAGGCAGCGCGTATAGGAGACTGTTAACTGGGATCCAGTGTAGTAGTGAGCTTCCGGTCCGAGTGCTGTGCTTACTGCTATGTCAACACCTGAAAGATCATGAGAGCTGGCTATCGAATCTCCAGGAACTCGAAGGGTGAATTTCGCGGATTCACCAGAATGCCTAGGGATCCTGTATGCGTATCTCACAAACACAGTACACATTCATGGTTCAAGTTGCTAGAGTTTTGACCAATTTGACAGAGGCTTCGGCATTAAAGGCTCCAATGTGTAATTTGGAGCGTTGTTTAAGGAGACCAGTGATGTAGTTCTATGGACTCAGATCGTTGTCAAAAGCTGCAGAGCTAGAAGGAACTAAAGATGATGTAGGACTGTTGACTGAGATATGTACAGGTAAGGATGAGGGATGTAGATAGTGGTCTGGGGAAGCTTGAGTGCTGACAGAGTTGTGAGGGTATTTGACACTCCCCTGCTGCTCACACTGCAGAAGGTTATTTCTTGTTGAGGTGTCTGAAAAAGAAGAGCGCATGGGACATCTGCTTGAGGCCTGTCACATGCACCCTTTTGTGGGATGTTGTTTTGAGATTTGGTTGTTCTAACAACGGATAGAGGAAAACCATACCACCGGCTCCGGAAGGCAATCGAGTAGGTGGAGTGTGTTATTTTCAGAGCCGACCTTTTCTAAGCCCCACCCCTTCCCACACGGAAGGCAGCACGAGGGTGGCACTGCTGGTCATCTAAAGGATACACCACCTTACTGCCATCACACTCCATCCAGTTAGAAGCAGTAAGACTTTGCCCTTAGACCTCCATCATAGTGTAGTAAGTTACACTACAACGGTAACTGCTTTTCGCTTTACCCCTACCCAACAGACTTTTCTGCTATGGTAAGACATCGAGGGAACAGATGTTACACATCAGCATGGTTCGTTGGGTCATTGTGATATGCATGCCCAACCTCCACGTTAGGTTCCAGATTTGTGTAGCTGGTTATGAAGCATGCATATCAATACGTCACAACTCCATAGCAAACAGACAGCCATTACCTCAACAAGGGAGATTGAATAGGTGAGTAATAGTCCTCATAATAATTCATATTGGAATACAAAAAAAAAGAAGAATGGTAACACTACCTTCGTCTTTGCGTGTAAAAAAACGATGTGTCAAAGCTTCTTCAGGACGAATACGAAATCTTGGCTCATAGACTAGCATACGTTGGATTAAATCTACAAATTTGTCATAATCCTCCGGTGTATGACCTTGTTCCCCACGTCGACAACCTTTAGGCCCTCCGATATCTGCGCCAACTACACTGCGTAACGGTCTTGCACCAACTCCAGAGAATTTACACTATAAAAATATCAGTAAATAAATAATTATAATTATTGAATAGTTCAAGTTAAATAATTCATGAAACAATAAAAAAAAATCTTCATTTGCACTAAGCATAATGAATGACTAGAATGTTGTTGGTTGTTATTTCCTGTGTTTTGATTGGACCGAATTTTGACCGGTCCGGCTCATGTGCGGATACCTTGATATCATCTGTAATTGCAGATTGATAATAATGATGGAGGATAATGCCTAGTAGTAGAATCTAGGCTCTAGTCTCACTGGCAAGTCCTAAATGGAACAAAAAACGGTGCTAGCCACTATCTGTCATTACTATAATGATTAGAATGTTGACTTCAGGTTGGTATTCACCATGGACTGACGTCACTTGGAGACCCAAGAGCACCGGACAGCTGTTTCGTTCTAGTGTGGGGCTCCTCAGCGGCGTGTACCTATGACCCCATCCGGAATCAAACCCAGAACTTTTACGTTTCGCGGCGAGCACGCTAACACCGAGACAATCGGTTGGAATCCAGAATTTCATACTTCCTACTTCTGCCAATTTATGACAAAGTGCGACTGACATCTAGTGTTGTCGTTGTTGATTAACTGCCGTCATATCCAACGTAGTTGGTCCTGCTGGTCACGACCTCATATTGGAGCTTCAAGAAAAGACCACCTCTCGAAGCGAGTCACCCAATACGCACTAGATTAGGTTAACCAGTTGAAAAAACATTGGAAACCTAGGAGTACTGGATAGCCGATGTTTCGTCCTAGTATGGGACTCATCAGCAGTACGCACCCATGACTACCCCCCTCCCTCTACAGTTCATGATGAATACCAAACCTGAAATCAATAAATGAATCCCGAAAAACCTCCAAATTGGATGACTACAATGTTGTTTAGAAGGTAGACTCCCCAGTTAAGAATTTCAAAATCTTACGAAAACTTCGACTACATTAGAATGAATTACACAAAGTAGACGAAAACACCTTCTAATAACTAAGATTATACACAAATGGAATCATTAACGATCTGTGTCTGTGTGTGCATGTGTGTGTGTACACAACAACAACAAAGTAGAGCAAAACTTAGAAATAAACACAACAAGAGAACATATTTTCTTTATATTTTGTCTACACCTACCTCATAAGTACACTCATGTTTAGTCCATACACGTTTAGGCCTGTAGAAGACTGTTCCAGATGTTGATAACAGTAGACTTGAATTAGATTTATCCATAGTACTGTTGGTTAAAGTAGTAACATCAATAGGAGGATGATTATCATTGGTAGTAATCGGATTGTTGTTCATGTTCACACAACTAGTTTGTACTACACTACTATTATGATCATTATTATTATTGTTATTACTGCTACTACTACTATTCGCTGAACTAGTAGCAGTAGTAGTGGTAGTAGTACTAGTAATAATATTCATATGCTTCGTCAAAGATGAAGTAGCCGACCCGACTGTATTTCCAGCTATAGTCGTTGTAACAATGGAAGTAGCTAATGAACCATAAGTTGTTGTTGTTGTTGATGACGATATTGAACTTGTCGTATTTGTGGCGACAGTTGTAGCATACAGTGTGTTAGTACTATTCTTGCTACCACCACTACTACAACTACCACTTCTATTGGTAGTAGTATTATTAGTAGTTGTATTCATAGGATTAACAGAATTTGTTGATGTTACAGATATTGTAGACGTATTCCCCAAATTGGAATTCATTACAGGTATACAATCGAAAAATGTTGATAACTTGGGACTGGCTTCAATCATATACACTGGTGGGAAACCAAAACTTCGATAATTTGAAGAAGTTGTTCAAGCTGAATAGAAAAATAAAAATAGAATGCACTAAACAAGAAAAAAAAGTAGAATGAAAATGAAAGCATATTGTAGAGGTAGGGGTAGGATAATCATATCTCATCTAGCTGTTCAAACCCAAGTAACCGCGGACAGGGGTTCGAACCCTGCGTTACTCACCTGCTGACACCACCACATACCATGGAATATGCTACGAAGGCAATGGTGACCAAGCGACTGAAACCTTCTCGTATCTCCTACCTTTAATGAGCAAGTTTCACAGCCAAAGAGTTAAAAAGAGCAGGCTAAAGCACAGTACACTCAACTCTTAATAGATAATCGTATATAGCGGCGGCGGCGCCACAGATAAAGTCAGTTGGCGAATGCCAACCAAGCATTTTCTATCCGTCCACAGATTTCGTCGGCGACTGACCAATGTATCAACGCTGTCACAACTTCTCAGGTAAGTGAAGTGTTCACAAGCTCAACTACTTCACTCCCTATTGTTAGTCACGGCACTGTTGAAAGCCAGTCCCGGAGCAACAATTTGCATTTAAGTGGCACGAAACACACCCTACACATTCCCACATTCCCACGCAAGGTGTCCAGATGACTCTGTATCTTGTTAGCGTCTTCACAAGACTATGTCATCTGCGCATTCTAGGTCAACCGAAAATTCTCCTGTAACTAGCTCAATCCCTGTGTAGTTTGATGGCTAGAAGGAAACCTCCATAAGAAGGTTTACGATGAAAGTGAATAAGAACGGAGAGATTGCGGCATCTTTGTCGGATACCACTTGACGTACACAAATAATCCGATATCTCACCACAGGCATTATTGACTACACAATAGTCTAAGTTGCCAAAACCATATATCACTACATCAAGCTACAACCCAATAAAATGGAAAATGAAAGGAAGAATGAAAAAAATGATGAGATTCGGTATGCCGTTAACATAAGGATAATATGAGTGGGGATATATCTACGCTACTGTCATCCGTTGTTCTCTGCCATATCGCCTACAGTCACTCACCAACCAATACCTTCTCTTATCCTCCAAACACCAACCACCAAGTATGCATCGCGTCGCACCACATGGATCAAACCAATAGTCAAACACTTCATACATTCATGACATGTTTCAGTCTGACCGCCTACAGCCGTTTCCCAGCCTCAACCTACTTCACACAATATTGTGTGACGAGGTAGAGACAGTGGCTACGAATAGGTAACACATGTCCCAGCCAGTCATCTCAGTCGATCAACGTTCACAACCACCTCAACTGACTTACCTCTCTTCTTCCTAAAACTCTACACCTCACTTCTACCTTAATCACCTGCTGACACAACAGAAGATGGCCTGTAGCAGGAATGCAACAGTGCTCAAACACTTAAAGCCTTCTCATATCTTCCACACTCAATGACCATGTTTCACACCCATACAGTAGAACACAGAGGAATAAAAGTCCAGTACACGCAACCCTTTATACACAGTCGGATATCACGGCAGACATACACGTAGCCTAAGTTAACAAAACGCAATCGAGCATTTTCTATTCCTGCAGAAATTCGTTGGCCACTGAACAACGTACCAGGGCTCATCCCACTTCCTAGGTAAGTCAAGTGGTTAACACACTCAACCACTACACTCTCTATTGTTAACCTACACATCGTTGAATACCAATCTTTTGAGCAACAATTCCCATTTCGGTGATGAGAAGCGCATCCCGAACATTCTCAAATTGCCATTGAAAGTGCTCAGAAGACTCTGTATCTTGTCAGCTTTTTCACAGAACTAACAGGACTATGTCATTTGCGTATTCTAGGTGTAGTTCTACTTAGTTACATAAGACGGAGAAGAAGTAGTGAATACTGCTCACAGACTGAATTCACTGAAATCATTTATCCTTGTTCCTATTTACCTTCGTTATCGATATGTACTAATGGACATAACTTTAGGTATGTCTGAATTTACACGGATTGATCTACTCCATGAAGATCATCTGGGTTGACTTGCAGCATCCAGAGGATATTGTCTTGGTAGGTAAAGATGTTGACAAAACTACATGATCTTCTCAATGAGTTGAGTGAAAATATGGAGTATATTAGGCTGGTATGCATTTTGCTGTTGTCTATTAAATGCAAGATGATGCTATACGAATGATCTGCTACAAGTGATAAAGAGTAAAATTGGTAGAATGTGTCAATTCACTTCACTTAGTTGGGGAGTTGCACCAGCCCAAACCGGCTGATTATTGATAAAACCTCAACTTGGAAACAGAAGGCCTATGTGTCATCTGTGGCGCCGGTTGGCGAGATATCCAACTATCTAACTAGAAAAGGATGAGTATACTTCAGTTATAGTTTGTTCTTTCCTATCATACAGTTGTAAGACATGTATATTACAAAGTAGACGACATAAAGGAGCTTCAGATATCTTTATAGCATCAGTGAGAGAACAATGTTGAAGTCAGGAGAAGGTTACTTGGTAGGACAGGCAAGTCAACTGAGATAGCTTGAATATGGACTGTGCATAACCCAGTCACCGCCTACCTCGATATATCATGTTACGGGAAAGTTGGATTATGTTAGAGAGGAAGAGGGGATCAATCAATGAACTCCCTGACTATTGGTATAAACTATGTGGAGGATTTAGACTGCCTGGTTGGAGAAGTTCCCTACAAGAAGAAATGAATGAATGGCTAAGGATTCTTACTAATATCGATTACAATAACGTTTTTACTTTGTACCATCCTCTGAATATTTGCACTAATCTTCCCGAAAACTCAACTATAAAAGAATCTGTTACTTTAATTAACTTGTCTTAATGAAATAATTTGTGATTGGTACTTTCTTTTACTAGTCAAGGTTTTCCTATTGTCTGTCTCTATGTTTAACATCTAATCGTTGTAGTTAGTTGTAAGTACTTGATACTGACTGAATATTCATTAGATTGTAGTCTATTTTCTGATTAACAATTGATAATAATTTGGCATTGGAAGCTATGGATACATGATTAGAGTCTGATTGGAGTCAAGGTATATACATACAGCTGATGAGTCCTAAGTGAGATGAAACTCGTTTCTTGGATTCCACTGGTTAGCCACTATTAAATAGACTATAATATAGTTGATTTTAGATGGTTTGGAAGGAGCTTTGGCTGGCTTAGTGGTTTGGGGAGATAACTATCAATCATTAGGTCACCTATCAAGGGTTTAGACAGCCCTCAGACAATAAGTGTGCAGCTCATTGCCTGGTGTACGAATAAGCATGCACAAGGTTATCGAGTATGAGATGCTGTGGATATTTTACAAAAAAAATCGTGAGCTAACAGAAGTTGGAAATATGGACCATGGGGATTTTGACCCAGTGACTAGCTCAATGGTAACGTGCTACTCACGGAACCTGAAGGTCGAGGGTTCGATCCCTAGTGGGGGGTCATGAGTGCGCACTGCTGAGTAGTCCCAAACTAGTCGGACGAAACAGCTGTCCAGTGCTTCCAGATTTCCTTTATTCCTCCAAATGACATTAGTCTACGATAAAAAAAAACAACTTGAAAAAAAAAATAATAGTAGGTAACGGAAAACACAAACCTCATTTGCTCCACAGAATAACGGTTCCCCTGTATGCATTTCAACTAGAATACAACCAAGTGACCACATATCAATGCCCAAACCATAATCCAAATTGAATAACACTTCCGGAGACCTATAGAAACATAGATAATGTAAGAAGGGAAGAGAAAAAAAAACTTCAGTTCTTTGGATGAAAAAAAAGAAAGAGGAAAACATGATTACAGCTTGTTGAAAGAAAACGATCCATTGAATATAGACAATATTAATCCAGATATAATCAATGACAATGATATGGTAGGTAACATTCATTTAACAAAGTTTTCATGTTCCCATCAATATTTAAGTTATCCTAGAGGAAAAACATGATTTTAAAAAAAATTATCCACCTTCCAAGAAGATCTGTATAGAGCAAAGAAGTATGGACAGTATAAGTTGTAGTAGAGGAAGAGAAGATTCTATCTCGGCAGTATGATGATCCTCCGGTAATTCCAAACTCGCTCTGAGTACAGATAATAGGTATAAAGTAAAGTAAATGTATAGTACAAGTTTCTCTCTTAGGTTATGAGGTGTACTACATTGAACTCATGCTCATGACAAAATCATAAAAGAAAGGAAACAAGATTTGAATTGCTACCTACTAGTTGAAGTGTTAGGCGGGTTGGTCAACACATGAACCATGAACCTCGATTGATTATTATTATTTGTCCCTTGGGTTCCTAGTGAAACGTACGGCTTCACTAGCACATCTCCACTCCACTCTCTTCTCTGCAATCTTTTAAACATGCCTCCACGACTGCCCACAAGCTCTCATTTCTTCCTTACACCATCTCCTCTATGTCACCTTCGCATCGAACGCCCAACTCACCGTTTCGCATCTGGGTTCCACTCGAGTGCCTGGCCTGACACGTGATGTTCCCGAATGGTTTTCTCAGTGCATGCCCAATCCATCTCCACTTCCTTCCAGTGCATATATGTTGGGTGATGGGTTCTACGTTGAGTCGTTGCCAGCCAACTAGAGTTCCTTGTTGCTGATTCTTTTTATTCTGGCCTTCTGAGCTTAAGTACTGAGCGTAGACAGCTGTCGATGAATGTCTGTAGTTTGTTGGAAATCCCTTACGTAAGGCACCAAGTCTCTCAATCATATAGCATCACTGATTTGACTGCATTAGTATTGAAAATCAGGATGTTGTTTACGCTTTATGCTGGGTGCAGATCACCACCACACTGGTTTCAGGTTAATGAACGCTTGTCTTGCTTTTCTTATGCCGGCTTCGACATCCCTTCTATGTCGCCCGTAGTTGAAACAGTGCTGCCTAAATAGGTGAAAGAGGCTACTTCTTTTAAGTTCCTCCCATTGGTGTGATTGGAGCTTTTGGTGGTGGTGGTGGCGTTGGTGGGGTATCATCATCACCTCTGTCTTCTCTACGTTAACTTGAAGTCCTGTCTTCGTTGCCTCGATTCATAGTTAGTCTTAAAGGTTAGAAAAATTCCTCCCAGAGGAACAACTACATGTTATATAAAAATAAGTTAGTAAAAGGCAACACAATCTGAAGACGAAGAATATTTCGTTTTTCAATATTTCCTCATCAGATTTCACAATCATAACATATAATCAATGATACATTTATACACAGATGAATACTGTGATGGTGAATAAAAAAGACAAAGGAATGAATAACAAGACAAGCCAGGAAGTAGCCTTTAGTTTACTGAAGGCCAAGTCAATGTGATGAATAATCAATCTTTGAACATGATCTCTCTTCCTATATACACAATTCAGATTTCATCAATCTGATTACGATAACATTCGATATGTTGAGCAGGCGTCGACGAGCTACACGTGGTAGTGTTTTTGGCACACAATATATAATATGACAGACGACATTGAAAGATTTATTAGCTATTCTGAAGTATTCTAACAACAACCCTCGTCCATCAGTTCATTTTACATATAAAGGTGAAATGAATGATTCAGTGGATTTCCTTGATATGCTAAGATTATGTAGACTATCCTTCCAGTCTTGAATTGAGCATTAGCCGATCTGCATAAACCTTCCTAGGTAGGCGCTCTGTCACTATTGTCTCCAATCAGCTGCTTGAGTCCAGTGACAAAACATGCTCTCCGAATATCATCACATCTTTCGAAAGGTATTCATACTCGTCTTTTACACTACATAACAGAAACTGTGAGAATTCCAGCTAATAATCCCGGTCTTTGTATCCAGAAGACGTTTGTACATCTCTTAACTCTCCCTTGACTAGAGAATACTTAGTCAGTAACTTTATCATTCAGTTGTCATTTTTCCCACCTCTTGTGCTACTTATGACAAGAAAAGAAGTTGACTCTATATATACTGAGAAGTATACATAGGAGACCGACATCATAACTTTGTGCCAATGAAGTACAAACGTAATGTCATAAACAGGTGACTGGCATCCACAGTAACATCGATTTGTTCCAAAGAAGTGTGGAAAAAGAACTACTGTGTATTTAAGATAATCTAAGTGAAAATGGATATCCGGATAAGTTCATCACAGCGAACATCATATTACATTGGTCCTAAACCAGAATTGATGACAGTGGAGAAGAAGCCTTTGTTTCTGCATTTACAATTCAAAGGAAACGCTGCTGATGACATCCTAGCACAATGCCTACCTAGGAAGGTTTATGCAGGTCAGCTAATGCTCAATTCAAGACTGGAAGGATAGTCTACATAATCTTAGCATATCAAGGAAATCCACTGAATCATTCATTTCACTTTTATATGTAAAATGAACTGATGACGAGGGTTGTTGTTAGAATACTTCAGAATAGCTAATAAATCTTTCAATGTCGTCTGTCATATTATATATTGTGTGCCAAAAACACTACCACGTGTAGCTCGTCGACGCCTGCTCAACATATCGAATGTTATCGTAATCAGATTGATGAAATCTGAATTGTGTATATAGAAGAAAGATTATGTTCAAAGATTGATTATTCATCACATTGACTTGGCCTTCAGTAAACTAAAGGCTACTTCCTGGCTTGTCTTCGTTATTCATTCCTTTGTCTTTTTTATTCACCATCACAGTATTCATCTGTGTATAAATGTATCATTGATTATATGTTATGATTGTGAAATCTGATGAGGAAATATTGAAAAACGAAATATTCTTCGTCTTCAGATTGTTGCTTTCTATTGACGATTATGAAAACTTTTAAATGATGAATATGCATTACGTCTAGGTTATACGTTGTGTATGTCTGTATCCATATTAAAAAAAGGTGATTCCCGAAGATCCAGTTAGAAATCGTGATCAGTGGAATTAACTAGGTTGAAAATGAGGATAATAGCTCAATGATATTGAATGGAGGTTACACAATTTTATGAACTGACAGAAGCTGGAAATATGAACCATTAGATTTAGACCCAGGAGGTCAATGGTAACATGCTAGCTGTAGAACCTTAAGTCTCCGGGTTCGATCTCTGACGATGTGGGGTTACAGGTGCACGTTGCTGAAGAGACCCCCTACTAGTCGAACAAAACGGCTGTCCAGTGTTTCCATGTTTCCAATGTCTCGTCAACTGATGTCAACCCGTAAAGAAATCCCTATAAACCTTAAAAGTGAATGAAAAAAATGAGAGTTCATCGGTTCGCTGTAGTAACCATCCTGTGCTTACACATACATACATACACACATACACACACACACACACAGAGCACAATGCTTCATAAGTGATGTCCCAGCTAACTATTGGTTACACAATCATCATGCCTCTCTCTTTATTATTTTTACAGACACAAAGAATTGAGTACTTCAAGTGAATGCGAATTTCTGCATAATATTACCCAGGTTATCGCAGCTAGAAATGTTAACAATGTAGTGGTTAAATTGTTCAATGTCTTGCTTTAAAATTTACAGGCTTACAATAACTGAAGACTATCTTTTTAGCTTAACCGATATTATTCATCAATACATATGGTAGATTCTCTCTGAGAGACTTCATCAACGGACTAATCTCGGGTCTAAACCCTACTCTACCTACTTCGGTTTAAGCAATAAAGTTTAACACTCATCATATCGTGATCTAGTAATTAAACCTGCCTGAATTTAAAGGTAATAAGGATCCAAGAGTAAAACAATGGCATCAGTTCATAAAGTCTTTAACTGTCCCTCTAAGTTATGTTGGCAAATGTAGACTCTTCGGGTTAGGGACTCTATGTGACATGATGCAGAATCGATCTTAGTAGTACAAACTGAACTTTATTATCCCCTCATTCTTTTATACCCATTTCTAACTATTTTCTTCTTTATTTCAGTACATTCTGGGTTGGGTCATGTCGATCAATCAATGTCAAGATAGGACCAGGCATTACTGCGTTACGGTCCGAGTTACCACCACACCTCACATCACTACATCAAGTAGAAAGGTAGTGAGGTGAAGGATGAAGATAAGAAAATTCACTCAAAAGAAATATAAAGTACAAGAAGAAAGAAAAGAGAAGTGACAAAATGGTGAGATTCGGTATAGTGTCGTCAAGATGAATATAATGTGTGTGGGGATACATCTGCGCCACTGACATCGGTTCTCACCCATATCACCTAGAGTCTCCAACTACTGGTTCCTCTTGTCTTGGGGACCCCAACCACCTAGTCTCCATCGCCCCACATATCTCAAACTAACAGTCAAACACTTCATGCATTGGTGTCATATTTTAGTCTGACCACTTCGAGCTTTCCTCCAGCCTCGACCTACTTCGACCAACATTCCGTGACGAGGCAATAGGTGACTGAGCATACGTAGTACGTGTCCCAACCATCTCAATCGATGAATGTTCACAACCTCTTCTCCCTTAAACTCTACACCTGACTTCTGCATTACTCACATGGTAACACAACGGAATACGTCCTATACAACGGAGGCGATGGTGGTCAAACACTTAAAGCCTTCTCATGTCTTCCACACTCAATGACCATACAGTAGAACAGACCGGACTCCCGTGCAGTACACACGACCCTTAATAGATAATCAGATATCACAGCGGTGCCATAGGTCGCGTAAATTGACAAAAGCCAATCGAGCCTTTTGTATTCGTGCAGAGATTTCATCGGCCACTGACCAACGCACCAGGGTGATCCGACTTCCC